CTTAATATTAGATTGCGGAGTGTGGGCTCACGGACGACGCTTATGTGGCTCAGGAGGATGACCGGGTCCTGGTGGTGAACGCGGTTTGGGACCTGTCCCAGGAGGAGCAGGACCTGGAGGAGGTTCAGCGTGAGGTGGCGGTGCTGGGTGGTGGGGATGGTGGGGGTCTTGTGGCGGAGGATTATGCATATTTTTTTCTTTCTTATATTTTCAATTTTCTCCTTACAGATAGCTTATGTTTTATAGTTAAATTGAACTCAAACCAAGAAGGTTTGGTTGTTTTTACAACTACAAGTCAGAGCCGCGTTGGATATGCATATACTGGTAGTTTTCTACCTAAAAGAACTTGTGGAGTTTTCTCGATGATCATATAATAAAAGTGAACTACAGAAGGCAGTCTTAATCGTAAGCTATTACTTCCTTTTATCAGTTCCACGTACGATCCAATGCCCTGATGACACCTTTCAGACATTTCTCATACATATGCGTGCTCGAAACTTTTAGACACCGATGCCCATTAGCATATTTTGAGCAGCTCAGGCTTTTTGGATAAGTTAACAGATAGGATGGGCCAATGATGACTTAGGATGTCTAAGATGGGCTACACTATCTGTTGTTCAACCCCTCTTGCTCTTTGCGGGTCTGGCCTGGTCTCTGGCTACCATTTGCAAGCGGATAACGTTTTTTCTAATGGCTTTTGTTTAGAGTTGATCTTCTTGTCCTAACAACGAAATCAACGAAAGGAAGACACCAGTACCGGTGTAATACACCGTCAGTGTTGTCAATATGGTTCCATTTTGAACTCCAATAGACTCTGCCTCTGATAGTCTCCAAACTCCAATGGCGACGTCATTTGTTCCTCTTCATCACATCAGTGGGTGCTTCACCTATCCTCGCCCGGAAATAAAATATCATCGTTGCCGTTTTCATGGACAGGGGTTGTCACCAACTCCAGGTCCCAAGTATCGTTTGAGACCCATTAATGCTTTGGTCGAAACTCCTCTTTTTCCACTCTTTCAGTCTCCCCCACTTGAAGAATCTCCTTCTCAGCTACATATATGCTCTTGCCTTTTCAATTCACTCTTCCTATTAGTTTTTGCCTTTTTGGTTTCTAACATCTTCACTCCCCTTTTCTTTCTTTTTCCTTTTAACTGTTTTCATCGTAGCTGGAGCCTGCCGACCCTGATTCCTACAAGATAGGTTATGTACGAAGTATGAGAGCTTACGGAATTGAGTTTAAGGAAGGACCTGACGGTTTTGGGGTCTATGCCTCCAAAGATGTTGAACCTCTGCGTCGTGCTAGAGTCTGTTTCTACCTTTTTCTACTTTATCACTCTCTCATTTTTCCCAATTTATGTAAATCAAAGTAACTCGTTTCCCTTCTCGTGCTCCTACGTTCTTCTGTAACGAACGTTGTGCTAGTTATGTAGAAATGTTATCTATGTCTTGGTAACTATGCTTCTAAGTTCTAACACTTGCTGAACAGGTTATTATGGAAATACCCCTGGAATTGATGTTGACAATAAGGCAGAAGCTGCCATGGATGTTCTTCCCGGATATAGTGCCTTTAGGCCATCCCATTTTTGATATCATAAACTCAACCAATCCTGAGGTAATTGGAAGTTTCCTTTACATGAAACACGTAATTATATCAGACAAGTATTTTGCATTTATTGTTCAATTCGGTGAGTGCACTAGCACACTGTTCAATTACTGTAACTCTTGTGTATTTTTCTTGGCAGACAGATTGGGATCTGCGATTGGCTTGCCTTCTCTTGTATGCATTGTATAGGGATGATAACTTTTGGCAACTATATGGAGACTTCTTACCTAGTGCAGATGAGTGTACCAACTTGCTTCTTGCTACTGAGGTGTGTAAAACGTATCGTTTCAATGTTTATTTTCTTGTTTTTACTTTATTTTTAGTCCCCTTCTATTGTTTTTGTTGCTAAATTCCATTTTTCGTATTTGATGAATTGATGGTGGGGAGTGATATAATTTAATGATAGCATTGAAGCATTGGGATTTGGTTGTTGGATTTCAGATACTCGCACAGATTACATACTGTTGTGGTGCTATCGAGAACTGTATTTTTAGCATAATTCTAAGAGTAACTATATGGGAAGCAGTTTGCTGTACTGACAACTCAATTAATCCTTGCAGGATGACCTCTCACGGCTGCAGGATCCTGACCTTGCTTCAACTATGAGAAATCAACAGCTAAGAGCCTTAGAATTTTTGGAAAAGAACTGGGTATAAGCATCCTGTCATTATTGCTCTAAAAGTTTCGCCTCTCACTGTATTCTTGTATATATCGAGAAGTTTTTGCATGCTCTAACAAATAAATTGATTTTTGCTTAACCTCATTCTGGTGTTCCCCTGAAAATAAAGCGCCTTGCTCGTGATCCTGAGAGATTCATTTGGGCTGTTAGCATTGCACAGTCACGATGCATTAACATGCAAGTTAGGATCGGTGCAATTGTTCAAGATGCAAATATGCTAATTCCCTATGCTGTTATGATGATCTTTCAGCACAAGGATCCTCTATCTATGTTTTCTTATCTACGGTGGTTGATCAGAAAGTTAAACTAATGCAGGCCTTGATATTTTAGTTTTTCTTTGGCCTCTATTGGCATCACTCAACCCCTCCCTGCTTTATCTAAAAGTTGATAATCCTCATATTTCCTTTAAATATTAGTTCTCTTAGTTACCTTATATTTTAATATGCTTTTGGCATATTCATTTGTTGTTGCAGACATGCTAAATCATTCATTTCAGCCAAATTGTTTTCTTCACTGGCGTTTTAAGGATCGCATGGTTGAGGTGATGATAAATGCTGGACAGGGGATTAAAAAAGGAGAGGAGGTATCGTTCTTCCATAATTCTCCTTTGAGTTCTAATGTTGTTCAACTATAATTGTTGAAGCCGTCAACCAAATTAGATCCTACGTGCTTTTTATTTGCATTATGGGTTCATATCCACAATTACATAAATTTTGACAGATGACCATCGATTACATGAGTGGACAGAAGAATTATATGCTCATGCAACGATATGGCTTCTCATCTTCTGTGGTAATTAGCTTCAATTTTTAATACTCAATCTACATATTTAAGTCTGTTATTTTCTTAAATCTAATTTAGTGGAATCATATCTGATGCCATTGCAACGAAAAAAGGTTCTCAAATAAACCAATGTTTGATGTCCTAATCATTTGTCCAAAGTTACTTTACCTTAAAATCAAATCATGAGGCTTGAATGTTGCAGAATCCTTGGGATGTAATACCATTCTCCGGCAATGCACATATTCACTTGGACTCTTTCTTGTCGGTCTTCAATATATCCGGTCGTCCTGGAGAGTATTATCATAACAGTACGAGCTGTTTAAACTTTTTAGAACCTTTCAAATGAGAATGGCAATCAATTTTTCTGCATGATTCAGAACCTTAAGTTCACAAAATTTTCAGGCCAGTTAGCAGATAAAGGAGAAAATTTTGTTGACGGGGCAGTCATAGCAGCTGCAAGAACATTGGCCACATGGTCTGATGGAGATGTTCCCCCAATCCCTAGCATGGAAAGGAAAGCTGTGAAGGAGTTACAAGAAGAATGTCAGCAGATACTTGCACAGTTTCCTACAACTTCTGCAGAAGACCAGAAATTATTAGGTGAAAATTATCTTATTGGATCAATTAGATAACATACTTTCCAACTTGATCTTTATAAGATTAGAATGCTCATAATCCTAAATGAGGGGTCTGATAGAATTGGACCGGTTGTCTGAAAGCTTGCAGAGTCCTAATTCCTTCAAAAATGTTGTGCTAAGATATTTTCATGGTTAAAGTACTGTTTAAACTGGCAGCATAAAAAACCTCTGTTAAGTGTTAATCTTTATTGCTATAAATTTTGAAATATCTTCTACTTGTATTCTGATAATCTAATTGCAATAAAAATTAGAGCTGTTTGGATTTGAAATCGTAATTATTACTTATAGAAATAATTCTGATCATCTAGAACATGGGCCATTAGTATAATTTATTTGTTTTTTTTTCCTGTTTTATGCTTGCAGATTCTATGCCGGAAGCAAGGAGGACGCTTGAAACAGCAATCAAGTATGTGAGTTTGTGATTCTGACATAACATACCTTACCCTTTTCTTCTCATGTTTCTTAATTGCAGTCTGAGTTGAAGGCCTTGTATGTTTTACATATGCAGGTACAGATTGCACCGAAACTGTTCATCGGGAAGGTTATCAAGGCTTGGACATCTATCAAGAGCATATTTTGTTTTAGATTATTTTTTAACTCGATAGGACTGTAGACAGATTAGCATATGTCGAAAAGCCAATAAGGGTGCTTTCTTTTTTGGAAAAGAAAAAAGAGAAAAATACAGGGCCATGATCAGCATTTGGAACATATTATGACTGCCGAAAATTCATGGTCTCTATTCGTTTGTTTTTTCGTGTTCATCATGTCCTGTCTCTCACAATTCATATTAGGAAATTGAAAGAAGCTGTTGATGGAACTATAACAGGATGTTTAAGTTTCATCGTCTGATCTTTTCCCATTTGAGTCTATTACTGTAAAAAGTTGGGGAAAGAATAATCAGTGACAACAAAATTTTCAGGGTGGAATGATGAAAAATGGCAATGGCAGTGAGCGTTAGGTGAAGAATTATTCCACGTCTTTCCACCACCCGAGTTCGATATTCAATGTAATAAAAAAAGTTAAATCCTTACTAGTAAAATTTTGGTTGAATTCAATTTGATCTAACCTTAATTAGGTTTGTGGTTAAGGACAAGAGGGAGACTTTGGAATTTTGTTCGAGTTGTAACGCACATTTCAAAAAGAAAAAGTAACGTACATTTGTAGTAAAAGGTGCGGCCCCGCCGGGCCTATTTTGGATTGAGGTCGGTCCACTCTTCTAATCCCATTCTTGCTAAAATCCAAATTCAGTTTGGAACTTTCCTCGTAGAGGAAATGCATTTCATGTGTGTTTTAGTGAGTAGTGAGCTTCATAATGCGTTCTCTTCAAAGGACGAAAGAAGAAGAAGTAAAGAGGGTATCCGTCTTTGCTTGGGAACTGAAGATTATCTTCTTTCCGAAGGAACAAGGTATGGAGAAGACTGCATCATCAACCGAAGCTGCTGCTGCTGTTGCCGATGCCAAAATATCATCAATCTTTATCTATCCCATCAAATCATGCCGTGGAATATCTGTTCCTCAAGCACCCCTCACTCCTACTGGTATTTTTTTCCCTACTTCTTTGCATTTAAGACGTTAATCCTTTGAAATATTTCCCCACTGTGGTTCTTTATGCAAGCAAAGGTGATTTCTTTTTCACATGCGTTGATATATAGGCTTTCGATGGGATCGGCACTGGCTCGTTGTGAATCAGAAAGGGAGAGCATATTCTCAAAGGGCTGAAGCCAAGCTTGCTCTAGTTGAGGTGAACCTTCCAAAGGAGGCCTTCTATGAGGGTTGGGAACCCACCGAGAACACCTATATGGGTAAGACCAATTCATCATTATATATTGGTCTACAAATGCACGTTCCACACTGGCTTCGTCCATATTTTTGCTGCCAAATCAACTTATATTTAATCCTCAACTATTTCGAGTTTCTTGCATGCACCTTTTCTCTCCCCTGTACTCAAGTATGATGTTTTGGTCATCATAATTTTTTTACTACTTTCGTTAACGGAGGAGTGAATGCGGCCTGCTATAATAGTCGAGATTGCGAAGGATTCAACCAAGTCCTGGGATTAAGGTCCAGCGCTTAATCCTCGAACCAAACCTTGTTAAAATCTAAACAAAAATATTTTAATAAATAATAAAAAAACAATAATATTAAATAAAATCATTATTATTTCGTATAAGAATCAAATCGATAGATTACATAAGTTTTGGGACTAAAATTGTTATTGTACAATATCAAGTTACACCATCATTAAATATTTAACGGTTGATGATCAGAGTAAAAAAAGCATTATGCTAGTGCCCATTTATGCAGAAAAAATAATATGGTGACCATAATAGGAGGGAGGTAATAGTATGGTGATTAATGTTATAATTTACCCTAAAAATCATTGAAATAATTTCTCTACCTTTTGTTTAAGTTGTAAAAAATATAGATATCATCAATTTCTTTTGATTCTATCATTGAAATGTCCCTTGTTCGGATTGCAGAAACTCAGATTCCCTATATTAGGTGTGGTTAATTATTCAGCATGGTTTATGTCCTATGCTGGTTGCAGTTTGGTTCTATCTTGTAATGCCTCTTCTCCGTTGCATTATAGGGATGTTCTATAGTATCTTTAATTTATCATTGTCTAATGCTAGCGGATCACCATATCCTTTGGAATTTTCATGAGGTTTTCCGTCATGACCATAATTTACTTTCACTCGCAGAAATAAAATCCCCTGGAATGGATTTACTCAAGATCTCACTTTGTAAACCACCACAAGTGGTGGCAGACGGTGTTTCAATTTTGGGATGGTCTGGCTCTGCTTTGGATGAGGGTGATGAGGCTTCAAAATGGTTTACGGATTTTCTTGGGAAACCCAGTAGAATGGTTCGTTTTAATGCAGCATCAGAAACTAGGCCTGTGGATCCTGTGTACGCTCAAGGGCATTCCATAATGTTTTCTGACCAGTACCCATTCATGCTAACATCTCAGGTTGGTCAATGATGATGATGATGATGATGATATTTCAATAAAGCTCAAACCTGTGTGAGTATATTTCTTTTGCAGGAATCTTTGGATGCACTGAACAAGCTTCTCCCGGAACCTGTACCGATTAATCGTTTCAGACCCAAGTAATTGTTTTCTCTTTCCTTTTAGGCTCAAACCCTTTGTTTTTATTTAGCATATGTTTTCATCTGTGTGCTGCTTCCATAAACATCACTTGCTTGTTATAGCATCCTTGTTGCCGGTTGTGAGCCATTTTCCGAAGACCTGTGGACAGAGATTCAGATAAGTCGATTCTCATTTCAAGGTGTTAAACTATGCGCCCGCTGCAAGGTAATAAGCTATCCTTTCTGCATTGTCATCTGATTTTAAAGCATTAATAACTATATCTGGTCAAGCATACTCTATCCTCAAATGGTTAAGAAGATGAGTTTGCATTTACCAGGTACCTACAATCAATCAAGACACCGCGATTGCTGGCCCGGAACCGAATGAAACTCTTATGAAAGTCAGGTCGGATAGGGTTCTACGACCGGACAAGAAACAGCAGGGGAAGGTAAGATGCAAAATTAAAAACTTTTGTGCTGCAATGCCTGTATCCAATTCCGTTTACTGTCCGCACAAACGATCCTACATAACTATTTGTCCAATGACATGGCAGATCTACTTCGGGCAGAACTTGGTTTGCAAGGAAAGTCCAACTGAAGGGAAGGCAAAGATGGTTAAAGTGGGAGATCCTGTATATGTTATAGATAAAGTCTCCACTGCTGCTGAAGCAGCTGCTTGAATGCGGAGCATTATTCGAATAATAAGAGCCGTAGCTCCTGATATGAGACTTAGGATCATATTATCTAGTAATTCGAGTAGGGTCGTAAAGGAATGCGTGTTTAAATAAAATTAACTTTCGAGTTCGGAATAAACTTTTATAAAAAAAAGAAGTTTTAGCTGTTTAAGGTATTGAAAATGCTTCATCTTCATTGCACTAGTCTTCTAATGTCACCAGTCTTACGAACATCCACATCCACATAAATTTTAATTATTTTATTTAAAGAAAGTTAATATTTAAAAATATGAAAAGATAAAAATATATCTATATATTATACTTTAAAATAAAGACTTCAATTATTTTTTTTATCAAAATGATTCATCAATAGTACAATTATTTGGAAGATGAATAAAATAATTTTTTAAATATCTTAATTTAATTCTACGCACATATTTTAAAAATATTTACTCTTAAAATATTAGCTTAATAAACTATTTATTATATTTTAAAAACTGTAGATATTGATGTCCCATAGAAGAACATGGATCTAAGATGCAATCATGCAGAGCCCACCCAATTCCAGATTACTAGTCACAATCAATCTTCTTTTCTCTTTATAAATCAAAATCATCCTACGATCTTGACTGAAATTTTGCATGAAGCAATACACGTGTCGTCACCCCTAATCTCCTTGTTTTATCTATTTTGTTAACCTTTACAAGTTCGGGAGTAAAATAATTAATATAATAAAAGTCACTGCCAGCCAATTTTAATCCCCTCGGTTTTCTCGAGAAAATCAAACCCCCAGTGAATTTTATTCTAAAAAAAATTTCAAGCCAGAAGACTGGATTTCCTGAGAGAAAAGTTAGAGAGAAAAGTTAGAGAGAAAAGTTAGAGAGTTAACAATTTGTCGTAATCGATGAAAATGCCCTGAATCAAAGGCGGTTTCGGTTCACCGCCCACCCACTGTCTCTGTCTCTGTCTCTGTCTCGTATACTCCCATCTTATTTCTCTCTATCTCTCACCGCCTGAGTCTGGTACCTATTGGTTTCATCTTTTTAAAAATATTTTTAGCTCTTTTTGTTGCTTTTAGGAAATACCCTTTTATTTTATGTAAAAGAAGTTTTATTGCCGTCTATCAGAGATTTTATGTGAAAAATTCTAGTATGTTTTATGAAATAATCAAAACCCAGATATCAAAACCCTAAGTTTATCTCTCCTACACTTGATTTTGCACTAATCTAGACCAATATCGTATTTAGCTGAATCCTGTGTTCTAGATTATGGCATTTGATCACAACACTATACCAAAAGATCTAAGACCGTTGAATGTGGTTAGCTCTATAACTGAAGAGCCCCGCATTGCAGCTACTAGTAATGTCAGTGGTAGAAACATTGAAGGGTTTTTCCCCAATCCATCTCTGGAGCCTGGAAGTCCTGGTACCGTGCCTATTTTTTATCCAGCAACTATGGCTAATTCTGGTTTTGTAGGTTTAGGGTATGCAAATGCAGTGCCCTTGGCACCGGGTGCCCCTGCATGGAGGCCCCCCATACCAATGCATATACCTGTTCCGGTGGGGCGCCCAAGTATGAACCCTGTTGTTGGGTTTGGCTATAATCCAAATTTGAGCAATATGGTTGTTGCTAATGCTGTGGATCAATTTAGTAATGGTATGGTAGCTGGGCATGTTTCCAGTCCTAGTTTGGGCAATAGAAACAGTGGGAATGGATGTGATCAAGTGAGTAATGATGTTGCGACAACAGGTTTTGGACCAAGTTCCGATATTGGAAATAGGGGTAGTGGCAATGGACATGATCAGTTGCACAGTGAATTATCAGTTGGGTTTGCTCATAAGCCAAATTCAGGACTCAGAAGCAATAGCAGCGGGGCTGATCAGGTGAGTGATGAGGGTGGAGGTGATTCGGTGTCAGGAAAAAAGGTTAAGATTTTGTGTAGTTTTGGGGGGAAGATACTGCCTAGACCTAGTGATGGGGTGTTGAGATACGTTGGGGGGCAGACAAGGATTATTACTCTTAGGAGAGATGTGAGCTTAAATGAGTTTGTGCAAAAGATGGCGGATATTTATGGGCAACCTGTGGTTATCAAGTATCAGCTTCCTGATGAGGATCTCGATGCATTGGTATCCATTTCATCCTTGGATGATCTTGATAATATGATGGATGAGTACGACAAAGTGGTTGAAAGGTCTTCAGATGGGTCAGCTAAGTTAAGAGTATTTTTGTTTTCGGCTTCGGAGTTGGATCCTTCTGGTATGGTTCTATTTGGGGATTTAATTGATGATGGGCAGAAATATGTTGAGGCAGTGAATGGAATTGTGCAAGGATCAGCTGGTGGCATCACACGGAAGGAGAGCTTGGCAAGTCTGGCTTCAACACGAAATTCTGATTTTAGTGGGAGTGAGGCTGTTGATAGCATTGGTGCTGGTCAGGGGGATGTTAATGGGGCCCATCAACAAGCATGTTGTCACCTGGAGGGAATTCAGCTACTTTGTTGATACTGGTCCAAAAATAATTGTTGTGGATCCTAGTCCAGCTGTTCATGCAGATGGCGCTGTTCGTTTAGGAATTCCAGTGGTAAAGTCTGCTCCTCCTCAAACATTGTCTGCTCAACATGAGGTTGAGCCAGAGAGGTCAATGCCTCTTACTTCGACACCTCAACAAGTGATATATGATATGCCACAACACTATGCATCTACATATATTGATCCTCGCCGTGAGGTGATTAACCATTCTGATTATGTGCATCTTGCACCTCAAATGGGGTCTAGTCCTATGTTAGTGGGCAAAACTGATTCTGTATTTAGCCAACAACATTTTGGTGATAATTCTTCATCTCATCAGTTCATTCCTGCCGTGCACGTGACATTTACTCCCTCCACTTCACATGCTGATGTTAGACCGACTTTAGTTCGGCCGCTGTTGCAACCCAAACAAATGCCAATGGAGAATGCTCAGCTTCCTGTTGATCAGAAACAAAATGTTTATCAGGCTCATATTCCATCCGCAATGGTTCCAGTAAGTCAAGGTTTGATGGGTATGACAGGTGAGTTACAATCACAGTATGTTTTGCCGACTCAATACCAGCTTAAACAGGAGGTCCCACGTACTGGGGCCATTGGCATTCATGCTGCAGAACAGCCAGCGCCCAAAGCCTCAAGAGAATATCATGGCAATATACCTGGTGTCCCTAAAAATGATATTGTAGACCCTAACCATCTGATCCCCGTTGATGGGATGATGGAGGCTCTTCGGATAACCAATGAGCAGGGTAATTCACTTCTTTACAAAACCAGAAAAGATACATTGAATGAGAGATCTCCACAAACAGCAGGGAGAGAGGTGCTCTTGGATAACATCTTTAGCAAACCAATAGACGGTAATGAGATGGTTATTTTGGATAATGTAATAACACATACACAACCAAGAATTGGAGCGCAAAACTTGGGTTCTGTTGAAGTTCAACATGGGAACTCTCAATTTTCTGGTGCTCAGTCGGCACATAAAGTAGATGATGTTTTGGATCCCACAGATTCACTCTTTAGCAATCAAGATCCTTGGAATTTACAGCAAGATGCTCACTTTCCTCCTAGACCTAACAAGATTCAAACACAGAGAGAGGGATTAGCTACTAAAGACCCTTTTGGAGAGAACAGGGCAGTAGTCAATGGTGAATCTAAAGCCCAATCGGAAGATGAAGTTTACCAGCCATTAAATCATTTGAACAAGGATTTCACTTCAGACAACACAAAATCCACACAAGGTGAGGTATTTGATTTCTGTTTGCTACAGATGTTGGCATTCCTTGCTTTATGCATGGAGTAAATGTTTATTGTCTTTGCCTTCACTTGTAAAGGCTCAGCTGAGGAACTCATCAAAAAAGAACTACAAGCTGTTGCTGAGGGAGTTGCTGCTTCTGTTTTCCAGTCATCTACCCCTTCCAATCCCGACATACCATCAACAACTGACAAATCTGGTTCTGAAGGCAATCAAGAGACAGATGTTTCAACTAGAAACATTGAAATGCAACATAAAGCTAAATTTGAGGTGTGCAATCCAAGATCTATTCATTCTTTTTCTGTCTCTCTACAAGCAGATGCATTCCTTGGACCATCTTTAATGTTTCGTTAATTCAGGAAATCAAGACCAAACAACCAGACAACACAAAATTTGGTTTTCGAGTTTCAAATGGCATTGGTTGCTTGCAGGTTGAATAATTGTTTTTACGTGATGTCTGTGATTTTATGTTAACTCCTTTTGCCCGTAAATTTAGCTTTATTCATTTTTCAGATTATAAAAAATATTGACATCGAAGAGCTGCGAGAGCTTGGGTCTGGCACCTTTGGTACTGTTTATCATGGGAAGTGGCGGGGTACTGATGTTGCAATCAAACGGATCAATGATAGATGCTTTGCAGGGAAACCTTCTGAACAAGAACGCATGGTACGGCTCTTTATTTTCTCTTTGCATGCTCTTATTTTCTCCATAGTAGGTCCAATATGAAATATCACTCATTAACAACTTGTACTATGGAAAATGCATATGATAAGATTGATGATTTCTGGAATGAGGCTATTAAGCTTGCTGATTTGCACCACCCCAATGTTGTGGCTTTCTATGGAGTTGTTCTTGATGGTCCTGGTGGCTCTGTGGCAACTGTGACAGAGTTTATGGTTAATGGTTCTCTAAGGACTGCTTTGCAGAAGAATGAGAGGTTCTAAAAGTTCTAGTTTTGTTTGCTATACTATATAAGCTTTCCTATGATTGTGTTTTAATTGAACATTTATCTGATTATAAATAATTATGGTTGACATGCTCTTTCCAGGAATCTTGATAAGCGTAAGCGACTTTTGATTGCCATGGATGTGGCTTTTGGAATGGAGTATTTGCATGGAAAAAATATAGTGCACTTTGATTTGAAGAGTGACAATTTACTTGTCAACCTTCGAGATCCCCAATGCCCGATATGCAAGGTTTGTGGTCTGGTCTAGGTTTTACTTGCAAGCCATTCTGGTGCGAGTTCTATGTTGGGAAGCTTTTCATTATTTATTCCAAACTTCCTTAGATGGAATTGAAAAGTATATCGATTCACTATGGGTTTTAATTGGACATATTTTCTTGGTTAGAGTAGGTTTAGTTGGCAAATTTAAAATATTGTTAAATTCTCAAGGTTAGTAGTTTTGTGGCTGAGTTGGCTGATATTTTTTTTATATAAGAATTGGAGGTGTCATTATGTTGGCTGATATGTTAAATATTCATATTATGTTGTGTGATTGAGGTTTATGTGGTCATGTTTTGTTCAAGAGCAGAAGTCATTATGTACGAACAGGGCAGGGTCTTGAACGAATTCCTAAACTTTTCTAAGAGTAACCTCAATAATATGTATAACAAACTGATTTTGGTTTTAGACCTTGTTTCTCTCAAAGTAAAATTATGGTTTCTGGTATATTTTTTTCATTGATCAACTGTTAAGAGCTGGAGCAAGCTGACTTTTAATGCCAAAAATGGGTGATTGTATGGTACTCTTGTTTATCATAACTTGATACATGAAGGTTCCTTTCATTTGCTTAGTGATTTTAATGATAACTTCGATTTCACTCCCAACCATTCTTCAGTTCTCACGCCAAGTTTTTCTGTACCAGGTTGGTGATTTGGGCCTTTCCAAGGTGAAATGTCAAACTCTGATCTCAGGTGGTGTCCGTGGAACCCTTCCATGGATGGCTCCGGAACTTCTGAATGGCAGCAGCAGTCTTGTCTCAGAAAAGGTTTGTGATCGCCCGTTATTTGGTTCAATGCCCACTGCCAATTCATTTCTTACATGCTAACTTCTGCCGCATATGATCATCATAAGATTTCTGTTTTGGTATTTCCTGTAATTTAGGTCGATGTGTTCTCATTTGGTATTGTTATGTGGGAGCTTCTCACTGGAGAAGAACCATATTCAGACTTACATTATGGGGCAATTATTGGTAATTGCACTATTTATAAATGTATTCTTGAATTCAATTGTTCAAACCATTTATTTTGATAGCTCACATTTTGTATCACTGAGCATTTGCCTTGAATTGAATTCATTCAGGTGGTATTGTAAGTAATACACTAAGGCCACCGGTTCCAGAATGCTGTGACCCGGAATGGAGATCATTGATGGAGAGATGCTGGTCACCCGAGCCATCAGAGAGACCAAACTTCACCGAAATAGCAAATGAGTTGCGCTCAATTGCAGCAAAAGTTCAACCAAAGGGACAAAACCCACAAAAATAAGCAGAAAACTCAGCCCTCGGGTTTCAAATATGATTTTGGACAACCGAATAATAGGTGGTCGTAAATGTGCTGCTGCTTGGCGTGAACGTACACAGCACAGGGAGAGGAATGGGACTAAGTTTATTATTACTAATTAATCATTTTATATATAGAATTATATTTGGTTGATTTTGTTGACATTAGACTTTCCATCTGATTGAAGTTTGTGTTTTTATATTGTTGGGGAATTATATGTTGAAAATTTGCATCATCCGTAAACTTCATCGAACAGTTGCTGATTCATTAATTTATATACATTGGATTCATTTATTACACTTTTATTATGGTTCTAAGTAAATTTTTAAACAATTCATCTCTGTTTTAACTCTACTATTCAAGTAGAATAATTGCCTTATTTATTTTATCTGATTCAACATTTTGCATGCACATGCAATTATATTGTTAAATCCATGGCATATTGATAAACCTTTTTTCAGTGACTTTACCTGATGCTTTGGCAAGCTTTAACTTAGTTCTGCACAAATTAAGCATAGATAAGTCTTAGACATTAATGTTTGCAGTCTGCAACCAATAAAGTGGTTAAAAGCTATAGAATAAATGGTTAAAAACTCTTAATTAACACCTCTTCTTTCTTCTAAGTTGTGGGTTCAATATCCATTAGGAGTAAAATTCCTCTCCTCTTCCTCTCCTATAGGTAGAAATTGTTTAAAAAAAAACATTAATGTTTGCAGCTGGAAACTTTATCAAAATGTGAAGCATTATTGCATTATATAAACAACTTTACATGCAGAAACATAATATTACGTATGTATAATCATTCAAGTAGATAATTTAATCTAAAACAACATTATTACACATATATCAGCAGATTACCATAGACCTAGAGCTGACTGGTGCTCACCTCAAGCAATTTGTAAAGCTGAAAAGCTTTACCGGGGAAAGCTCACCATTCCCATTGCAACAGTTTCGAGCTGAACTCCCACTACTATGAACAGATCGACAACAAAAAGTGGAGTTAACTATTAAGAGATTCTTTTTTTTTTTTTTTACACTAAGTATTCATTACAGGTTTAACCTGTGTTTCTTCTTTTCCAAACCAAAAGTAGCAAATGGTACTTGAGAAAAGCTCATCTGGATCGAGAAACATAAACGCGACAAAAGCAGTCTACCTCTTACGTTTGCTCTCCAGAGAGGGAGAGGAAGAGTGGTTACTAAGCCAATTCCTTTTTCTCTGGTTTATGAACCAGTTGTTAATCTGCTTTAACTGCAAACCTGTTTCCTGCACTAATTTTGCTTTGTCTTCCTCCTGAAGCAACATTTAGAGGAGACACTTTTGTCATAAAACAGTTGAAAATAACATGCTTTGATGGTCAGAACTAGCAGGGAAACATTTAACACTCACAGTTGGGTAAGGCCACTTGGAATGTAACTGCCACCAAGCTTTTAAAAATGAGGTGGTGCCGCCTGGTAGCTTTCCGGCTCGTCTCTTACGCAGAATTTCCTCTCTAATGTCCACAAGTTTCTCCTTGTAACCCTAAATGACCAGAGCATATTTAGCTGCAGTGTTACGTGTCGAGTGATTCTACTTTTAAGTTCGTAAAGTCATACCTGTTTCAGCTCGTGCTTCAGTTCTTGCCTAACTCGCTCCATCAATGATTTCTCGATCTCAGTTGGGACCAAGGGGCCGAACCCCATGCTGTCAATCCCATCGAAATTTCCATCAAACAAGCTGGTATCACTATCTACAACCTCATCTTCATCATCAGATATGGTTGCACCAGTTCCTTCACCTGGAGATACACCTGTTCATGCTTTCTAGTTTAGCCCTAAGTTTGGCCAATTCAATCCGCAGTTAATGCAGTCATTTTCCAAAACAATAAAAAATAAACAGGGAAGGATTAAGTTCATTATTATGATTTACAGTAAGCGTGAAAATGACTGAACCAATTTCTATGGCTAATCAATAGACGTTTTTGCAGTTCCTATTGAATTAATGTGAAGAACATAGTGATTAGCACTGCTCTGCCATGGTGTCTAATTTGGGCTCTGAGAGAGATTGGTTAACAATCTACAACTTATATAACTCTGCAAGATCTCAACACGGTGTTCACTAGTAGAGAACTAGCAAATACAATTGGCTGAACGCTGGACCAAGATGAACGGTTGGCCGTAACAGATAGGTGGGAGAAAAAAAGAACAGTTGGATCAAAATATAACAGAAACGAATAACATAGCTCTGGTACAATATAATGATGCGTCGACATGCTAATCCTACTTTGTGTTATCCACTCCGGAAGCTGTTTACTGTAGGAAGAACGGTTTACCAGTTAAACTTTGAAGTGATTGCTCCAGATCCCAACAAGCCATAACTGCTTCCATTGCATGAACACGAACACGTTGTTGCAATTGGTCTTTGAAGAAGCCAAGCAATAGAACATAATTTGCCTACATCAATTGTAAAAGAAAAAGAGAATGCTCAAACAGAAAAGATGCCAATGATTGCATATAATACGACCATATCAGAAAGCTTTAGAAAATGCAAAAGGAGAAAATACCATCTTTTTAAGATAGTAGTGGGTTTACGTACACATATGCAACTATGTGAAACGGAAGTGGGCAGGGAAATGGTGACATATCACTTCCCTTACCCAACAAAGTAGACAATTAGGGGAGATCACACTACAACAAAATTGGTTTGTAGCGGCGTTTGGAAAGTAAACGCCGCTAATTTTATACACTGTGCATTAGTTTCGGGAAAACGTACAATAATCCACCATGAGCCATTGTTTCATGCAGCTGCAACGGTGACATATATCACATGCCATATTAACGGAGGCTTAATTTCACATTCACAAATGTACACCACCTGAATGATATGTTTTTCATGGAAAAGTCTAACTAGAAATACTTCAGCAGAAGGAATAAAGAACTATCCTTTTTCATTTTAAGCCTTTTTCCTTTTACATAATCTCTTTTAGCTGACATATAAAATACTAATCCTAACATAAACTTCCTAATACTCCTCTCTCTCTCTCTCTCAACAAAAAAAATGATTTTGAGAACTACCAACAACAACAATCAGCTAAAGAAATCGGCACAAAAAATTCAGTATAACCAATGGATTATAACTAAACAAAGAGAAAACCTAAAGCCAGTTGGTCAACGATGACCCAAATGAGGAAGATAATCAAGAACTCATCACAAACACAAAGGACCCATATCAGGAAACGAGAAAAGAAAAGGGTTACCATGAAGTAATCGAGTTCTTCCTCGCCAGCACCGGCGGCCGCAGCTGAGGAGTACTTAGCCAAAACTTCTTGAGACCTAGCCAACTGAGCATCTATCTGTGCAAGCTGGTCAACAGGCGTGGCAACACGTAGGCAGGCGACGTGAGCTTCCAACAGCTGGTCGTACATGGGGTGCCTCATTATCTCGGCCTTGCATTTGGCTCTTTCCCAGTGATCGAGGTCCGCAGCTGAGGGTTGGGGATCGTTTAGAGCAAGGGTTTGTATGTCCTTGGTATGGTCGGAGACAAAACCATCGAAAGCCATGTCGTGTTGGTCAGAGAACTGGAAAGAGGCTTCGAGGGGGTTTGATGTTTAGTGAAGAAGAAGAAGATAAAGAGTAGAGATAAAACCAAAGGAAGGGTTTTGGAGAGGAAATGAAATAAAATAAGAAAAAGGAAAGCGGGGTTGTTGGAAGATCGTGTAATAAAAGACAAAGGTGGAGATCCATGATCACGATGATGATGCAGCAGGAACAAGAGGGGGACAACCCTTGATGTTTATGTTTGAGTTAAATTTTTATACAGTCTTTTGTTGGTTAATTTGGTTCTCTCTTCTGTTTCGTCATTTTTAGCTCGTAATCTTTTTCGCTCTAAATTCATTAGGAAAAAATATCGTTTATGAAAAATTGTTAAAAGGAATCATAATTTTTTAAAAGAATTTATATTCTTTTATAAAATTTAAAAAAAAAATTCACTTAAAACACGTAAAATTTCTAATATTTTCTTTACTCATAACTCATTCATAGATCACATCCATATGGTTTCCCTATTGAAGCTCTAATATGTACATTTTAATATTTATTATTAATATATTATGCTTTTACAATACATGTTAAGCGCAAATAGTGCTTTCTCTCGCGCCTTTTAGGATTCCCCCCCCCCCCAAGTCGTTTAGTTTTTATCTTTAATTTTGTTAGTCAACGATAAAACTAATTTTAATGTTAATCGTGGACTGACATTACTCTTTATTTTTCATTTATTTTCTTATATCAAATTTTTATTTTACTTCTTTTTGTTAATTTTTGAAAACTTTGGCCTCTGACTTTATAATACGATTTGATCTCTTTTTATTATACGTTCTCAATTTTCTCTATCAATCATTTGGTCGTTCTTTTTTGTTTAGTTTTCTTATAAATGAATTTAGATATGCGATTTGTGTTTGAAAATAATTTTCTCACAACACTCGATTTTGATTCGAGATTGTTGAGGTCTTTTAATAGTTTGATCCCCTATTTTTGATTCGTATCTTTATTTTGATCAAATTTTTTATATGTTTTTAATATTTTCCTTGTATTATCCATATATGATCTTAAGTGACATGTTTTGTGTCAGTAATTATAAGAAATGTCCTAGTTATACATTAAATTTACACTTATAATTATAATTTGTCATTATAATATTAAAATTTTCTTTTTAATAAAATTAGCAACTTATAAATACTTGTATTGCGTATATATTATTTTGAATATAATTATTAACTATAAAGTAAAATAAGTTATATGAATTTTCATTTTATCTTGATTTTTTTGTTAATTTTCTATCAATTTTATGAACAATTCATTCGATACTGTTTATAAGATTTTCTTATGCCGGTTTAGAAAGTACTTTGGAGATTAAAAAATAATGCTAAACAATTAACTTTTTAAGAAAAAATAGATTTAAAATATTTTTTAACTCAATCATAAAAGTTAAAAATTTTAATTTTTATATTTAAAGAATATTTTTAAAATCAAAATTATATATTTAAACTTCATGTGTTATTCTTGGTGGGTTTATTTTATAATTTATAAAATTAAGTTTTAAACAAACATTAATAAATTATTTATGAGTTATAATATAGTTTTTTATTTAATTAATTATTTTTTAGTTATAAATTGATTAATCCAAATCGGATAAGATATTACATAGGTTCGCTATGGAGGTGACATTATTAATTCAATTTTATTTATTTATAATACTAAGATTCAAACCCAACTTAATTATCATGTATAAAATATTCATTTAATTTTTTTAAAACACATTTTAATAATATTATTAAATACTTAAATTTTAAACTATTTTTATTTTTTAAAAAAAAAAACTCTTACAATTCTTTTCAAGAATAATATTAAATTAACTCTTTAACTTTATTGGATCTAAAAACTTGACCTAATTGCACTTTAAATTTGTGCATACCAATGAGGAAGTGGATAGACTGTTTGAGATCTGATTTAAAAGATTTAGCACTTACTGAGGACATGACTTCTGACAGGAAAGTATGGAGACTTAAGACCATGGTAACCGAGTAGTGTAGATCACAGCCATGGGTTGTAGCATCTCTGTCTTCTTTTTAATGCATCTGTAGTAATTTCCATGATTTATACTTTTATACGTTTTTGTCATTGGAATCTATGAAGACCCAGAACTAGAGTAGCGAAGTAGTGTTGCCTTAGTTTATGTGGTAACTCATTTGACTTTATTCCTTCTAGTAGCTTGCTATTGATGACTACTGCGTATTCTTTCCCTTCATGTTTTCTCTTTTTAAATTTAGCCGGGACTTACATTTCTATCTATATACAGATATTATTACGCAGGGATTACTTCCCATTACAGACGCGCATATGAAGATTGCATATGAAGACTGTTCAATTATGTATTTATTTATTTATTTATACATGCATTGTATTTTATATTTAATTTTAATTTTCTTGATTGTCGAAGATCTTTCACGAAAACTGCTCTTAACCTGACGTTAGAGGTAATCTATTATACTATCTTCTTTTTATCGTATTATATATGAGAATAGAATTTTATTGTTGTTAGTGAATAAAAATATAGCCAACAAAGCTCAAATTGGGTGGAAAAGTGTAAGCAACGGTTATGGCCCACACCTGAGAAGCACTTGCACTAAGCAATAACGCAAAAAACTGTGTATTATGGGGCACCACCATAGTCTGTATTATAGCCCATTTGCTGCTCCTCTTTCCCTACTTTCTACACGTGTCTCCCTCAAACTTTATTGGATCACCTGGGGAAACGTGCTTCGTCCGTACACCTGTAAGGCTGTAACCTTGTAGCCTAGCCAGGGACCATCACCGCGCCAAATTACAAAGTCAAAAAAAGTAACCCTGATTATTTGGCATCTCAATTATTATTGTGTTTCTTTTTAGTCATTTGATTATATTTTTTTGACAAAATAATATTTAATGTTATTTTTTTTTTTATAATTTATTTAACAAAAATAATAATGTAATGTTGTATAATGATAGTTTTAATCTTTAATCTTTATAATTTTATTAATTTAATTATAATTTAAAATAATTTAATAATTTTTAATATTTAAAAATATTATTTATTTTAATTTATTTTAGTTTAAAATAATTTAATCATTCAATAATTTTAATCATTGAATAGGGAAACAATGTATACCATCATCTTATAAAAGAAATTTTTTTAAAAAATGGAAAATGGGAATTAAGGGGATTGAACAGTAGCAATTAGGAACAAGGAATAATATATATATATATATATATATGTGTGGTAAATACAATGTAATATTTGTTTAAAGATTTTTTAACATTTCAACAATGAACGCTTATACCATTTCATATGCGGTGCTCGAATATGATACCTTAAAAGTATTGTTGTAAACGAACAGAGCGTTTGGTGAATTATTTATGAACTGTTCGTATAATATTCGTTAATGTTCATTCGTTAAGCTAAATAAACGAATATGAAAAAATTATGTTCATTTAATAAACGAGCGAACATAAACATAAGTGTGTTCGGTTCATTTATATTCACGAACAAACTCGTTTATCGACTCGTTCATTTATGTTCATAACGAAACTTGTTTACCCAATTATCTTTTCTGTGAACCGCTCGTATAACATTCATTTATGTTCATTCGTTAAGCTAAATAAACGAGTATGAAAAAAAATATGTTCATTTAATAAACGAAAGAGGCTCGTGTATGTTCACGAACAAACTCGTTTATTGAATCGTTCATTTATGTTCATAACACTCGTTTACCCAATTATCTTTTTCCTTTTTTTACATTTTAAATATTGGTGAACGTAGAGATTAATTGAACACATGATAAAAGTTGAAATTTAAATTGTGAATTTTAAGGAGTTTAAGCACTAGTGGTATATTTTTATCATTTTTCTTTAGCTTACAGATAAAATGATAAAACTATAAATTGAATGTATAAACGAACGATAAACAAACAATAAAGAACATGTTCGTGAACTCTAAATGAACAGTTCGCGAACATTAAACGAACATGTTTGCGAACAATAAATAAACAAACATGAACATCTTCAAAAATAAATAAGCGAATACGAACACGATATTAAAAATTTAAACAAACATGAGCACCTTAAAAAATAAACAAACGAACACGAACATAACATTGTTCGTTTAAGGTTAGTTCATTTACACTCTTACTCAAAAGATAACAAAACAAATTTAATCACTATCTGGCTTAGTTTATGCAAGACAATAAGAACTTAAACATGAAGTTAGATAGGATTTTTAGAATAATATTAACAAATATATTATTCAATTTAAATTTGATTAATAAGTGTTTTGAAGGAAATATGAAAAATGAGATTTAAGGGATCAATGTGGGTCCCCAGCTGCATTCGATTGATCTTATTTCATATTTCTTTAAAAATCTTTATTAATCCCAGTTTAAATTAAATAATATATTTATTAATATTATTTCAAAAAATTAAACTTGACTTAGTGGTTAAAATCTTCTTATTTCAAATCACTTAAAGTTCGTTTTATTTCTTTTTTTTTTTTTAATTTTCAATAAGATGCTGACATATATTGTCGTATTATATAGGTGCTAAACTTTTTAAAATTATTTTAAATTAAAATGAAAATTAATTGACATTATTTTTAAATATTTAAAAAATTAATAAGTTATTTTAAATTAGAATCAAATTTATAAAATGTATAAGTTTTAGGCATTAAATTATTATTATACCGTACAACGATATCACGCATGTTAGATAAAAAAATTAAAGTTATTAAAGTTCGTTTATTTCTTTTTTTTTTTTTAATTTTCAATAAGATGCTGACATATATTGTCGTATTATATAGGTGCTAAACTTTTTAAATTATTTTAAATTAAAATGAAAATTAATTGACATTATTTTTAAATATTTAAAAATTAATAAGTTATTTAAATTAGATCAAATTTATAAAATGTATAAGTTTTAGGCATTAAATTATTATTATACCGTACAACGATATCACGCATGTTAGATAAAAAAATTAAAGTTATTAATGATTACCCCTTTCGGCCGCCCGGGGGGGGGGGCTGATAAAAGGAGGTGAAGAGAAAATGGACCTTTGATCGGGCCAATTTAGCACGATGCAAGTAGAAGGATATCTGACTAAGAAACCACCTTTTATATTTGAAATTTACA